AAAGGCCCTCCCAGCCGCAGCGCTCTCCGTCCAACCCCAGCGCCCGAGCAGACACCGGTTACGGCAGTCGGCGGTCAGCGGGGGCTCGCGTGAAACCCTCAGCACGTCAGATTTCCCAGCGCCAGAGAAGGACATAACGTCTTCCACAGAGAAACTGGATGCAAATTTTTTATTCCATCAAGGAGTGATTACAAAAAAACAGTACACTGGTAAAAATCAGATTCTGCCGGTAACAAACATTCAGTAAACATTTTATTTGAGTGCAGATAATCACCATGTTCAGATACAAGAATGCGTGGCCATTTCTGACTGTGAAGCCAGGGACTGTATTATGATCGTAACACACGGATTAGAATCAACATCTCAGGACAGTTCAGCAAACGGAAAAGCCAAATTCAAAAATGTGACAGCCACTCCAAAATCTATGAAGAGACCAAATCAGACCAGTTCCTGAAAGCTTTCCTGCCCCACATAATCCAAAATACTTTGTTTTACATAGTTGCATAAAATAAAGTCCCCAAGAGAATCAAGTGCTTTTTGTCATGATCCCCATCTGGTTTAGAGCCATCCTTGCTCTTCTCCCCCTTTCTCTAAGGCCTTGCAGTCTCACACCCCTCAGCTCCCCGGGCCATAAGAGACACCGCAGTTGGTATTTCTCCAAGTCTTTGTCAGTACCCACCTATAGAAGTCCTTGCACACATTTCCAAACACTGTACCTAGGATCGTCTTTGGCTGCCATCCCTGCCGCACTTACAGATCCCCAGAAAGCCTCTGCTGCGCCATGCGCCTCACGGGACTGCTCAGCGTACACGTGCGGCGGGCAGAGCAGCGCGTCGCAGGTGAGCCACGATTCCGCAGCCCAAACAAAACACAAGTAACCTGCGGAGGACGAGACGCCTCGGTGCGAGAGCTGCGCTCGTGAACTGCTCTCACGGCTGCAGGAAGCCGAGCTGCATCACGAGCCTAACGGAAAGAGACATCGGCTTTCTGGCCCCACAAGCAACAGAAGCAGCGGCAACGCGACAACAACAACAAGAGGCAGAACAAACTCCATGTTCACAAGCAGATTTTTAACAAGGAAGGACACTTTAAAGCTTCGGTAAATTTGCCGTTTCATTCCTTCCGCTCTCCCCTTTCCACGTGAAGGCACGCGTACACGCAGAGCCCGCTCCGAAGCGGGGTCAGCTCACACCAAGTTAAACATTCAGCGACCGCTCCTACACCACTGAATGAAACGTGCAGCTTAAAGCCAGGCATCGCCACGGCTGGCAGGAGAGTTTGGTGGGCTCAGTCTAAGCTTGAAGTTCTGAACTTCAGTCGTCCTCATCTGGAGCTGTCCTTTCGCTTTTAACTACAAGGAGTACTCAGGGCCCTACGACATTTTAAAATGCAGTTCTTAAACTGAGCTTTTAAGTTTATCAGGGAAGGGAATTAATTGCCATCAGCCCCTCCTTGATTTCATGCTCTACAAGGTGGACAGTGGAGCACATTCCATAACGGAGCGTTAAGAAATTTTGGGAGTGATAAGGAATAAGCCGCTGGACTAATACATAAGTCTTTTTTTCTTAACCCTTCTCCAATACTTGTCTAGTAGCTCCATTATGGGTAAACTCACTTGCCAGCAAATAAATACTTATAAAAGTTCATCTTAATTGCACCAAGGTTTAGATGCATCACCATACACTCCATAAATATTGAAGGCCAAGACTAATTACCTTTCACACTACGCAGGCACTGTGCCCTGGGATTAAGTGACACCGTGTGTGCCAACACCCGAACGAACAGAGAGAGTGGTTTTCACA